TGGAGGTGATGATGGGTAATTGGAGGTGATATATTGGGTAATTGGAGGTGATAATGGGTTGGTGTGGGCTGGGAAAAAGCAACAAAGCAGCTTTGGTTTTCAATTGGAGGTGATGATGGGTTGATTTGGAAAAAAAAAACTTGTTTTTTCAATTATGCAACGGCGACCAACGAGAGCTTCACAACGGCGACCAGAGAATGAATATTACGACAACGATGCAACAAGAGGGCAGCAACGATGAGCATCTATTAGTGGCGTGACTGAATCAGCGAGCAAAGAGGACTGAATCAGCAACTACTCCAGCAAAAACGATATGACGATGACTGTAAGGATGTCACGATTCCGGCAAAGGTACGGTGATGGTGACGTTGATGATGGCCAGAGAAGATTAACTCTATATATATATATATATATAGTATATACACATACAGATATGCATATCCATCTCTGACACACATCAACAAAGCTCCAAACATGGCTCACAAACGATCTCCCACCTTCCTCTCAACTATTCTCCTTTTTCTCATCCTCTGCGACCTCTCCTATGGCCAATTCATCACCGGCCGTCCATCCTCAGATCTCATCTCCGACGGTGTCCAAGATGGTTTACGGGGTCCATAATTTCTCCGGCTCAATCGGTTCTTTACGGACGAGTCTTGCGATCAGACGTACGACTTCCTGCCCTGCACCACCACCGTACTCGGCAATCTCTTCTTCATAATCGTCTACGGTTACCTGATGTTCCTCGCTGCTGCGTACCTCTCCAGTGGAAGCGAGCTGTTGTTGGAACTCCTTGGACCTGGTCTTAATTTTGATTGGATTTTGCTTTTGTTTGGTGGCGGCGAACAGTGATGGGTGGGGGTAATGGAGGTTGGGTTAGGCGGTGATGGGGGGTGGTAATGGAGGTTGGGGAATGTTTGGTTTTAGTTTTAAGGGTAAATTACACCTAGACCCCCTGAGGTTAGGTCATATTTCAGCCAGATGAAGATTTTGGTTTTAACTTTCACTTACACCCCAATTTACTTTTTGACTTCTGATACATGTGAATTGACCATTTTACCCTCAATTTTTTAATACAATATATATATATAATCTTAAATGACAAAAAAGCCCATACTATATATATATGTGTGGGTGTATATATATATATATATATATATATATATATATATATATATATATATATAACACCGGCAGCTCCCACCATTAACAACACCTCCATCACCACCAACGTCCTACCCTAACACCTGCACCACCAACCCACCCAAAACCAAACTGCACCTCCACCCAACACCTCATCACCACCACCCACCTAAAACCAAACCCAAAAATACACAAAATCCCATCCCATCCACTGCCGAAATGGACGTCGATGACAGAATCAAAGGCGAAGTCGATTGTTGAAGACGACGTTGAAGAGCAAGTTGATATCTGCGGCGGGTGTCGGATTACAACCTCTACGGTGGCCCAATCAATATATCTCGGCAGTGAGACATCGGATTACAAGCTTACAGCCTCGACGGCGTCGTAATCGGCGGCAAAAATCCTCATATCGTGCTCCGGCGGGAGGGTTTGTGAGAAGGGAGAAAATTAATGAGGTAGCTATAGTCGCGTATCTGTATGGAGAGAAGTAGCTACAGTCACGGCGGTGGTGAAAGAGGTCGTGGTAGAGGTGGTCGCTATGGCGGCGGGAGAGACGATGGGATTAATTCGCCGATGACGACGATTTGTCAAGTCATACGGCGACGACAGTGGAGAAGACAGTAATGATGTCGAAGCCTCCGATGGCGTTGAATCCTTGTCTTCTTTCTTCGATTTAGGGTTTCTTTCCCACTTTTCACCAAATCACACACACATATATATATCACCCACACGATATACCACCCCCGCCGGCCCGCCGCATCACAGCTCCACAACCCACAGCCACATCCGATGTCGTCATCGCTAATTGCTCTGACTAGACGCCCGTCGTTGCTTTGTCGTCGCTTGGGAACACGCCGATATGAACTGAGGTCGCCGGAATTGAGTTTTGTTTCGCCGGAACTGGGTCAGTGTGTATTTGCGTATCTGTTGTGAGGGTTTGTGAGAAGGGAGAGAGAAAGGGGAAAAAGAGAGGTAGAGAGAGAGAGGAAGGTTCACCGGGGGAGGGGTCATGGGTAGTTTGGTCACAAATATGAGGCCAAAGGGTAGTGTAGTCTTTTAACACTTCAAAAGTCCTAAAATTCATATTTGGGGTGCAAGTGAAATGCCAAATCACTAATTCATATACAAGTAAAATCTAAAACCAAAATGTTCATATAGGTATAATATGACCTAACCACAGGGGGTCTAGGTGTAATTTACCCTAGTTTTAATTATATTCAGGATTAGGTTATCCCTATTTTATATAATTTGAGGTTTTATTTTATCTTTCTGCCAAACAAATATAATTTTACACAAATTTGGACAAAAGGGTCATTTTACATGGCCGGTATTTATAATTATTAATTTATTCAACTGAAGTAAGGGTATTGTCGTCATTTTACACCACACAGGGACCTATTTGTACCAAATTGATAATATAAGAGAATTTTTACCATACAAGGATTGATATGCATTATATCGATAGTTGAGTGGTTTTTTTTGCACTTAACCCTTTATTTAAAGATCTTATAAGATTCATTTTCAACTTTAACTTACCAAGTAGAAATTATAAAAGACAAATCTCAAAAGCAAACGTTATAGAGGACCAATAATTGAATACATCCAATGTAGGAGACTGACTTTGCCTCAACACTCTTCCTGTTGTTCAATTGCTTAGGCTGATACTCCTGATTTTTTTGCTATAATCTGCTAACATAAAGGTTGAAAATTAAGTGTTGCAGCATGATCTAAGTCCTCCTTTCTCATTTCATCAACTATTCATGATGAATTTCAATTTAATTCATTAGAGAGATTTTAACTGTTTTTTAGCAATGGGCATTAGCGTAGATGAATAATTTGTCATATTAACTAGAATTAATATGCTACCTTTTCAACAATTAATATTGCCTCCTCCTACGTCCTGCCAATTATCTAGTGCTTCTTTTATAATAAAAGATTTGATAATATGCACCAGCTGTACGTTCTAATCCATATCACTAACTATAGTGATTAGTAGTGCAAAATTCATCATGGATGAGAACATTTTTTGGTTCATCAGTATTTTAAGTCTCTTGTGCTAACTTTTAACTACAAACATCAAATATTATTGTTGTTATTAGTAAGAGAATTAATATTTTTTGGTGCTCGAAGAATGGTATTTTTTGTAAACATTAATTCCATGAATATTTCCCAAACTAATTTAGAGAGAATTAATGTAATCCATAGAGGGGATTGGGTGCTAGGCTAAATTTATTTTATCCTTAAAGAGGGAGGGGTCTAAGATTTGAGGTTTTATTTTATCTTTCTGCCAAACAAATATAATTTTACACAAATTTGGACAAAAGGGTCATTTTACATGGCCGGTATTTATAATTATTAATTTATTCAACTGAAGTAAGGGTATTGTCGTCATTTTACACCACACAGGGACCTATTTGTACCAAATTGATAATATAAGAGAATTTTTACCATACAAGGATTGATATGCATTATATCGATAGTTGAGTGGTTTTTTTTGCACTTAACCCTTTATTTAAAGATCTTATAAGATTCATTTTCAACTTTAACTTACCAAGTAGAAATTATAAAAGACAAATCTCAAAAGCAAACGTTATAGAGGACCAATAATTGAATGCATCCAATGTAGGAGACTGACTTTGCCTCAACACTCTTCCTGTTGTTCAATTGCTTAGGCTGATACTCCTGATTTTTTTGCTATAATCTGCTAACATAAAGGTTGAAAATTAAGTGTTGCAGCATGATCTAAGTCCTCCTTTCTCATTTCATCAACTATTCATGATGAATTTCAATTTAATTCATTAGAGAGATTTTAACTGTTTTTTAGCAATGGGCATTAGCGTAGATGAATAATTTGTCATATTAACTAGAATTAATATGCTACCGTTTCAACAATTAATATTGCCTCCTCCTACGTCCTGCCAATTATCTAGTGCTTCTTTTATAATAAAAGATTTGATAATATGCACCAGCTGTACGTTCTAATCCATATCACTAACTATAGTGATTAGTAGTGCAAAATTCATCATGGATGAGAACATTTTTTGGTTCATCAGTATTTTAAGTCTCTTGTGCTAACTTTTAACTACAAACATCAAATATTATTGTTGTTATTAGTAAGAGAATTAATATTTTTTGGTGCTCGAAGAATGGTATTTTTTGTAAACATTAATTCCATGAATATTTCCCAAACTAATTTAGAGAGAATTAATGTAATCCATAGAGGGGATTGGGTGCTAGGCTAAATTTATTTTATCCTTAAAGGGGCAGAGGGTGCCAGCAGGCCATATTTACTCCACAAACTCACATCTATTGCAAAATTTCTACTTCTACTACCTTATGTGTTGCCTATTGTTTCTTGAACTTGATCTATTCTTTTCAACTTGCGATCTCTGGACGACGGCAAAGATAGCACTCAGATGTGAGACCTCTCCGGCTGGGAAGAGGGAGGCGTGAATGAGATGGTCGAGGCCGTAAACTCAGCAAAAGAATGAGAAACGTAAAGCATAATAGTACATGGGTCTATGAATGTTTTCTGAAAGATGAACTCATTTCTGATAGATAAAAGAATATGAAGGGCACCAACCCATGCAAAAGGCAGACTTTTGATAATTCGGCCGGGCCAGTCAAGAGAAGTTTAAAAGCCATTTTAGGAAAAGGGACCGACGACAATGGATCAATTCGAAGCAACCAAACCATACAAGGTAGTCCTAGATAGAAATGCAAGATGATGATGTTATGTATCAATTCTATTTTGCCAGTGACTTGGAGAGCAAAGAGGGGAGCCTGAGTAAGAGTCACCCGAGGACCATCATGTTCTCTTTAGTTATGCTATTCCACTTTGGATGTGATCTGATGGATACTGACAAAAAAATTGCAATTTTATTGAATTCAGAAAACTGCACAACAGGTACTATTTATTTCATCGAAGATGGCAAGAGTTGAAGATAATTTTGCATGATCCATGAGCCAAGGCTGTTTATCTACATGATTGAGTAGCCCGGGCCACCACCACCTTCTGGAACAGTCCACTCAATGTTCTGCTTTGGATCTTTGATATCACAAGCCTGGAAAAACACAAAATGCAAAGTTAGGGATAACTACTCCCTAAAGATGTACATGTTTAGACAAGTATCAGAAAACATAAACGCCGAGGATAAAACTAGTGAAGTTTATTGAGCAAGGTGCGGCTGAAATGAGTTCCTCACAAGAGACTGATCTCCACACACAGACTTCAAAAGTTTTTACAGCTTTAAATACTCTCTCGTTACATTTAAGATTAAACTCGTTCCTGGAAGCTTGAAAATCTTTGTATAATTAAACCCTTTTTCTTTCATTCATTTGTTTGTTTGACAAGTACAACAGAATCACGTGTCCCTGCGCGAAGAAAATTATTATATTATTATCGAATTCTTGAACTCTCTCCAATCTCTGGTTTCGTCCTCTAATGGTAGATTAATCAGTAATTTCCTTTTTTCTCCTGCAATATTCTGATCTAGTGGCTAGATACAAAACCAGATAACCCTCACCCAGCCTATAGACCCCCAGCCTCTGAGAAGGCAGGGACGGTCAGGTCTGTGGTACAGCTACCTAGAGACTATTTGTTAACGGGTAGGTACCATTGACAATTAGCAGTCATTTACCATAAAATGTTGGCTTAGTTAACAATTTTTGGTGTCCTCGTACATATTATATATAGCAGAAAATGTGAGTTGTGATGGAAACAGGATCTAAAGATATCTTAAATAATCTATATTTCATGTGCAAACCACATAAAATCGAATGTATCCCAGATGTGTGTCTGATTGAAATAGCTGTTATATTCTTCTTAAAACTGAAGCACTCAGTCTTCACACATACAGATGCGTTGGACAGTGATGCGTGTCGAGTGGGTAAAGACACCTTTTACATTACACATCCATTGTTTCCAATAAGGGATTCAGGTCAACCTTTTACATTCCACATCCATTGTTTCCAATAAGGGATTCAGGTCAATAGCATTATAATTATTATGGCAGAAATCTTACAGCACAGTTGAATGAAGGCCCATTTTGGGCTGACACTTTTTTCTTAACCCTTACCTATCTAGGCTGATTTTGCATGATGAAGAAACACAGACAAGGTATGTCCGTAATCCATATCTATCTAGAGTCTTCTTGATCAGATAAATTGTTGACTGGTTACCTCATTGTCAACAGAGTAGGGATAGAAAACAGTGTTAAGTGAACTAACTTGTACAATCATATTTTTTCTTCCTTTGCAACTCTACTAAATTTTCTACCCACATGTAGATTCATGCCCATGTATATATATGATCAGCATAATTTTTTTACAGGAAGTCCCAAATACATTCCAGATACGTTGAATATTACCTTGCAGTGCAGGCAATTTTGAGCATTGATCTGCAGCTTCAGTTGACCCTTTTCATCAGGAACGTACCTACGTTTTTAAGAGATCATAAAGGACAAGTCAGAGATAAATCATTTACCAAACATTATTGAATAAAAAGTCCCCGCGAAAAGCACATTACTCATATACACGTGCAGGGCAATATCGTGATTCAGGTCCAGCATATTTCGGCATGTTTATAATTTCAGGAATCTTGGGGTCCCTCAAGCGAAGATGAGCTGGTTGATCATGATCGTGATTTGTGTTGCTCCTGAAGAGAATATGAAAGCAAATATGACAGTAATAGCTAATGGTAAAGAACAAGAACCATAACATGCAATTTTTCCGTGTCAACTTGATATTTCTCATTTCACTGCCGCTTAATTTCTCTAATCAGGTTTTAGATAATGGGCTACATGGGCGATGAGATCATTATGGACATCAACACCTTATCTCAACTATATTCAGGATTGGCCGCATCAGTCCTCTTACTTATCAAAAAAAAAAAAAAAGATATCTTGCAGTTACACTGATAATTACCACACAATGATGATTCTAAACTCATTAGAACTCCCAAATATAGTTAGCCAACATTGATCTCGCTCTACCATTTCTAGTTTCAAATGCTGACTTTGTTCATGTAGGCACACAAACTTCTTCCTTGATAACTGAATCACTCTTAGAACAATGACAGAATTTTATAGGTATCGACTTTTAGTAGCAATGCTCTTCTCATTTTAACTATTAGCCTAGCCCAACATTTCTACTTCTCAATCTCAACTAACACCTTTAATATTAAACCCAAAGTTTCATGAAATGGTGAATGTTGAAAAAAAAAAAAAGTTCATTAACCTGTACAAAGAGGTTGGCACATCAAAAGACACAATCCCATCTGGCTTTGGGTAATGAATTGGTGAGCATAATTGTGCTTCCTGCAAATGTAAGAGCTGTTAAGAGAAATTATTTGTTGTTCAAATATATTCCATTAATGTCAACTCGTCGATTCAATTAACTATATCAGTGGGTTACATCTTGCATTATAAATGTGGTAAAAACATGCTGATGCAGCTGTTTTGGTAATTCAAAGAAACCGCCAAATTTTGACAGCTAAATGACAAAAAGCACTAATATGGATAAACCTTCCTTACAATGAGTGTCTGGGATATATTTTGAATTTTATGCCAGTTCTAAAATGTTGCAGATTGGCTGCAAAATCCAGAGTTTGATTTAGTGGTAATAGGAATTGAACATGGAGCAAAGTAAGTGTCCGCTCCATGGGCATGGGAACAAAATAGGTCACACAGATTAAGTTGCAGACAACTTTTTCTCACCTGGAACATGTGACCAGTGTTATCATTGAACTATTTGCAAATGTCCAAATATCATATATCGAAATGATGCTTGTTCCTAAAATTCCCGAAATATTCTAAAATAGCTCCACAATGAAAGCTTATGATTTTTACGATTCTTTTCCCAATAACAGAATGCTCTATTCCCCACCCAAATAAATACCTTAATTATATTTTCACAAATTAATCACAAAAATTTGTAAAAGCCTGTTAATATACAAACACACTCATTTCAGTGTTTCTTCCCACGTTTTAAACTTTCTAATTTCCCAACAAACTCCAAAAAGTGAATTATCCCCTGGTGCTGAATACAATCAAGTTCCTACCTAACTTTCTCACTATGTATTCAAATCCATTCATGGTTTCTTGACCAGAAACTTCTCACCTTTGTCATTTCGTGATCAGGTTTTTCATGCTTCAGCGTTAAGGGGGATCTTCCTTTCAGAATGTAGCTAAAGAGTAAAATTTAGTAGTCAGTGCTATTCCATCAGAGACAGAAAAGAAAGGACAATCATCATGCAGTTGAAAAGTGAGGTGTTAATTCTGCAGAAGGGAAGATCTTACTGTTCTAAAGCACTTAAAGCCAAACCAGGAATAAGCCCATACTTGAACGCCTGCAAGAATGAGATAACTAAAGGATGAAACTATAAGTTACAAATAATAGATGTGCCACAATGTTCTCAACTAAAGTAACTCTGTATTTAACTGTATCTGCCACCCAATCAACAGATTTTCTTCTCTCTCTCTGAACATCTGACTTATCCATCCATCCATCCAATTAATTATGAAAGCAAATTACTGGATTCTATTACTCTAGACTGCCAGGCAGATTAGCCATAATTACAATGTGGAACGATAGTTACCGCCTTACCGGACAATGCATAAGTGTTAATTGATATGGGCAGTCAAAAAATATAAGCCATTCAAGGGGTGGCTGATTAAGAAAATGACCTATCATCAATTAGCGACTCATGGAAGAACTATAAGAGTATAGGAAGCCATAGAAAACCTCTAGATAGGAAATAAAAAAATATGATTTACAGAATTAAGAAGCAACAAATTGCTATACTTACCGGCCGATAGTTCCGCGCACCGTGAAGTTCTTCCCATATCCATGAATTTTTTAAATTGTCCCAGTAAGTTTCCATATTTAACTCTTCATGAAGTAAACTGAATGCAGATTCCGCTGCTATCATTCCTGTAATAAAAAGGTACGGTTTCTAGTGCACCATTGCAAGTTATGATCCATGTACAAGACTGTCACAATCTAAGTCATTATTCCAAATGGATGGCCATTTTAGCTTAAATATATGCAGGATCTGATTCCATTGGAAAATTAAAAATCTAAATGACATTTTGTCTGAGTTTCCCAGAACTTCTCCTAATAAATAGTGCAAAGGGGACTAGAAAATTAATGAATTCTAAGTTCCCTAAGACCTAATAATAAACTAAAGCAACAAATGAATTATGGGAAAATGAATTCTGGGAGCATTTTGTTCTGGGAAAATAATATTTTGGAACATCTCTGGAGTTGGAAATGTTTGATAGTGTAATCCCAAATAAAATTCAAGATCAAGCTCTTGAAAAATCTACAGCATCAAACTAAGTTTACTACAGAAAAATATGCTTTTCAGCAGAAATAGTGATAGGTTTTAAGACCTCAGCAGGCAAAGGATAAAGAGCAAGTCGACTCCATTTCCATGTCTAGTAGCAGTTTCTGCTACGTTGAGTGGTTGAATCATACATGATATTAGACTCATACATGAGATGCAAGGAGATGCTATAGATAGCCAGGGACGCTATAAACAGCCAACTCCAGTCCATATGTTCTGCAAATGCAAAAATGCGTTCAATTTCTCCAAGTTAATCGCACACTTTTTAATTGCTTCTGTTTTCTTCTCTCTCTAGTCTCTAAGTTAATGGCCATCATTTGTTGGAACTTTTTTTTTCTTTTTTTTCTTTCACATGCTATATAAGTGGAGAAAACAAATAAGATACATTACAACAGTTGTTACATCTGTAACGAACAGTTATCTGGCCTATAATTTTCTGAATTCTAATACCATAAGTTTTGCATCCTTATAGTATTTTCTATATCAATTCTACATGCGTTCATTTAAACATATCATTTCGTATAAGTAAATCAAAGATAAATCAACTAGAGAAGGAATAGTACCTGATTTCATGGCAGTATGTGTTCCCTTTATTTTTGGTACATTTAAGAAACCAGCTGCACATCCAATTATTGCTCCTCCCGGGAAAACTGGATATGGAATAGACTGAAACTTAAGTAGCATCATATTTGTATTTTATAGCAAATTTGCTCTAACTCTGGCTAATGAACACCAGAGCCTGTGTCCTAGCATTAGCAGTCTAATAGCTGCCAATGTCACTGACTTAAAAGAGAAGAAACAGCTGGTAAAAGATCTATAAATTGGGTGCTTAGTCACATTATAGATTTGTCTTTAGCTGCATGGAATCTACCAGCAATGACCCATTTCCAATAACAATAAACAGATTTATTTACTTATTTTTATTTTGGTGGGTTGGGGGGGTTGATGTTAACATTTCTATAATTTACTAGAAAAAGAGAATTCCTGATTCACCTGAAAACCGCCTTCATTCAATGCACGAGCGCCATATTGGAGAACAGTTCCGCCTTCAAGAAGAGGTCTGATGGCAGGATGACATTTAAGTTTCTAACAGAAAGGAAACAGTACACAAGAAGAGTAAGATTCACATGCTTGTACTTGGAAGATAAATAACATAAAAGCCACTGGGATGTACACATTCTAGATAAAAATAAAAATAAAAAAGCTAAACAGAGTCTTAGAAAAGTAACAAGTAGCTGTTAGGGAATTATTTTACAAAGCACAGTTCAGCATATAAAAAATAATAATAATAAATAATTTTTTTTTTACAAAAAAGACAATTATAAACAAAATGTTGGGACTTGATATGATGAGAGAGTCTGAATCTAACCTCTTAAACAGAACACTCAACCTCAATGCTCAATGTAATTGAAAATAATATTCAGCTAAAACCCAATAAGGAAAAAAATATATATTTTAGAAACAAATGCAAAGCGGATTAGCGATAAGGACAACCTCCCAATTCTAGTCACAACATCAACTTCAGATACCCACAACAATTATAGCTCTTTCTTCTATACTAAGACATAGATAAGAACAGTATTTTTTCTCAAATCATCTGAGTAATAAAAAGCTCTAGTATTTCAATCCTTCAGGGTCACTCTCGTTATTGAAAGGTACTCCAACAATAATTAAGTCATGAGCTGTACACAAGCTGGTCATTAAGTCATACAATTTAACTTTCTTCATGAAAATAAAGTAGTTCTAGATGGGAGTTAAAAATGAAAAAAATGAGAGATCTAAAGCAACATCCAGATGGAAGCAAAAAAATTAGTGCCAAGGAATCTTTAAACAATCCATCTCAAACACAATGAAAACTAGAGCAGAAAACCAACCAAATGTACAAACGGATCAAACTAAAGATCAATTAGACCTCACTATATCGCATATAATCCATAATTCAGAATTATAATCCTGATTGCACAAGAAATCTCAGTTTATTCTGTGCAGTCTAGAATACCAACATGCATAGCAAATGGTAAAATCTGGTGTGCTTTGAATATATCACATGCATGATAAACAATATGGTTGCTTGATATTTATGGTGTGTTAGTAGTTTAATGTGCTTAAATTGTGTTAATTATGGTTATAATTTAAAAGTTAGTTTAATCTGGTAATTAACGAGTTAGGTCTAGATCATGGACCTTGCATAAATCTATTCAGAGACTACAATTACAGTCCAATAGTTTTCTCAATTCTAACTTTACCTGGAATTCCTCATAAGGGTTCAAGAAAGGGTTGTGATAATTCAAAGCAACCACAAGCCCAACAGAAACCTGCATATGAAACCAAGGAAACAGTGTAGATGCTATCAAAATTAGAGTTTTGGAAAAGAAAAAAAAAAGTTACATGCTTGTGATGAGAAAAGAATGCCAGTGTTACTGCTTTAGCAATTGTAGAAAGCAGTAAAGTGAGGGGAAAAAATCTGTACCTGTCTATCTTTCATATGGTACAGAAAGGATCCGCCATAGGTTTGGTGATCCAAAGGCCAACCCACTGTGTGAAGTACGGAACCAGGTTTATGCTTGTCCTCGTCAATTTCCCATACCTGAGCAAGAAACATCACCGGGATCAGGTAAACTATACAAAAATTCTGGTATGCATCCAGTAGTTGTAATCAAGGACATTCTTCCGGTAAGGCCCGAAGATGTTCCTTCCCATTTAGCCAACAAGATTTTTATCACAGCCAACTACTAGTGAAAGCTACATATCTTGAAGGAACAACAATTAGAAATAAAGATTCTACTTCTTCCACTTCTTTCTCAGACTATTTTCATAGACTCATTAATTTCGTAAGGAAGTGCTAAGGATGTAGTTTGCAGGGCTAGATGGAGAAAATATGCTTCAATCTGTGTCAATTAAGTTTCTCACCTTGAAACAGTTGAAAAAACTTCTACAAGCCCCAAAGTTCTCAAAAGAAAATAGTAGCCAAGGGCAATTTCACTAGATATCAATAGTTCCCTCCCAACACTATTGCGGCTTCTTTATGCAAGAAAATAGGACCTTGCAACCTAGAATACCTAATCCGTGGTGGGTGCATATTACAATAAAAAATGCAATCTTAAGAGCACAATATGAACCAACAGGCCAGTGGCCTAGCGGTATTAGGCCCCAACTTTCCAAAGGGAGGTCACGGGTTCAAGCCTCAGTGGAGGCATGTGTGTGTGAGTACCAACTAAGAAAAAAAAAAAAAATGAGAGCACAATATGTCTAGTTCCATGGATCTGATATAGTCTAATAGAGATTTGACTTTTTTAATCATGATTTGATCACTACATACCACTCTAGCATTACTAGCATGTTTTATATTTCATGCCATATATGGCACGTGCCAAGATGGTGTGTTCTAATTTACAGGCCTTTTTTCGAAGCCAAACTTTGCCCCCAATGAACTTGCTTAAAAACTCATTTTGTCAGCAAAGGAACTTGAAACTGTGCATGAACTTTATATTCCACAGCCCAAAGAGTTATACAACATTTAATGCTCTTATGATGCAAAGATTAATGTATGTGTTTTTCCGCAAGTGTATGTATTGCCGGACACCCAGGTCCTAGAATGTTTTAAAATTGCTCTCTTACTTCCAGTCTCACTATCTTTTCACTTAATTAAATAAAGTTCCAAAAATGAATTCGTAAAACAAATTTAAAACTTTTAGGCATGGTTGTTAACATCCAAATCAAGATCTTATGATCCCCTACAATTTTACGATCCAAAAGTGTTGAATCAATCCCGATCCTACAAAAAGTCCCATGAGGGTAGAATCCTTATGGAATGCTACTTTTTCCACCCTTTTGATTCCTGTAAGAGCACAGAAATCGTAAATTCCCAATTTAACTCCTGGTTCTACCAATCCCATCATACAGCCATAAAATGCTACTTTTTTTTTCTCCCCTTTTTGATAAGTTAGAATCCAAGATCATATAAGAACTTACAAAACAAAGGTGAAGACCAACTTGAGTGTCCTAAATTTAATAACTATGTCAAAATTTTCTTCCATTTTAACTCTACAACGATTCTTCAAGTCTAAAATTAGTCAATAGTCAACTATTTAAACAACTTTTTAGGCAATTTGATTCCTCATTTTTTAGTAAGTATGAGTTTCACATTGTTTCCTTTCCTTTTAATTTATTTTTCATTTTTTCTTTTGGTTGGTTATTTTGTTATGATATGTAACAAAGGAGGACAAACTTTTGCTTTAATAACAATACTTAGACTCATTTAGTTCAATCTCCACCTCTTTCTCTCTAAAGATTAATAAATATGCTTAAAACAAATCAATCTTATAGTAACCTTATATTATCCTTGAAAGAGTAGCTCAAGATTTTAAAACTAAAACATATTTATATGTAAGTTAAAGGTTTTCACATAATATATGATCACAAAATGATGATGATTCATTTTTTTTTTTCATTTTACGTTTTAAATCTAATATTGTGAAGTGCTATCATAGATTGGTTAATTAAACATTTTTTATACTAATAATTTGTTGATCAGCGTGGGGATAATATGCTCCAAAATAATTAGGGAGAGTATTTGGAGGTTTATGAGTTTCGAGAATTCTTCTATTTTTTTATTGGTTTTTAAGGTTGTTTCATGTATACTCTTTAAGAATTAGTTAATGCACAAATATTGCTAGGCTTCATCATTTTGTGGCTTTTTTGGTCTCGTTTTGTAGAGCTATTCTCGAACCAATCCTATGATTTGAACCCAAGGACCCCAAACCGATCCAACATAGAATCTTCATTTTAATAATGTTGCTTTTAGGAAATGGGTATATGGGGGTAAAACTAGAATTTCCTATTTATTTGTTATGGAAATTGACCATAGATTAATTTTCCCTTTTGTTTTGGAATAGTGAATACCCCCATAATTCTGAACTTCATGTTACTCCTCCCAAACAGATAACTCAACTACCCTTAATAAGCCCACTTAAATATATTTGGTATTACACTTAATTCAACTGTGCTATGGCAACTGCTGCTACTATCCCCTCTGTGTAAACTACCCTCTGAACACCAAGGGTCAGTTTCGTTTGAGAGAAATGGAAAGATAGGGAAAAAAAAAGGAAATGGGAGGAAACATTATCTTGTGTTTGTCATAAATTATGGAGGGAAAAGGAGGGGTTCACTAACCCCTCCAACAGTGATTTTGTTATCCTTCCAAAAGTGGGAGAATGGAAGGACAGGATCTGGCTAATGGAACTTCTATAATACTGATTTTACCTTTAAATTTATGAAGGTCGGAAACCAAGTATTATTGAGTCCTTTAAATGTAAAAGGGTGTAGTAGTAAATTTAATCAAATAATTTCCTTTCTTTCTCCCCACAAACATTATTAGGTTTTAAAACTATCCCTTTTTTTTTTTTTCCTTTCTTCATTAATCGACCAAACACAATGAGAAGTTAAAACTACCCTCTCCTTTTTCTGTTCCCTTCTCTCATAATGAAGATTCTCCTTTCTTTCTTGTTTTCCCACATGCTATACCAAACACAGACTAAAGCTACGGTACTGTCAGCAATAACCACTTAAATAATGCTGCTTCAAAATGAATGCTCCTCCATCATATAAATAGCAATTAAATATAATCAATTTTAATTGTATAAAGTAACAAGAAACAGGATAACTAAGTGATCAATTGGAAAAGGCAAAATACATGAATTTTGAGAAAGGTACTTAGTTTGGCAGAAGATTAATAGATTACCTCTTTAATTCCTAAAGCATAAGTTTGATGTTGCCCCTGCCCCTTCTCTCTCAACTTGTAATTTCTTATTATTTTCTGTACATGAAAATATTAAGGAAATCCCAATTAGTTAATAAGTTTAGAACTGAAATCGGCCAGCAAAACTTAGAAACTCTGGCTAATATCAAAGCAATTAGGGTCAATTTTTTTGCAAACCTCTGATAATGACCCTCGGCATCCTTCAGCAAGAAGTGTAACACGCCCTGCATACCAATCTCAGGTTTATCGTTATGAAGGAGCTAATCTACTTATAAATAAAAATTGCAATCAGCACAACATTTTTTGTAACAGAGCCAGTTCTATACAAAAAAGTGTATTATCGAGTTTATGTCCTGCCAACACGGGTCTTGCCTATGCAGGTTGATGGGTGGGGAAGACTAGAGATGAGCTAACCATTGACATTATCTTGCACGAAGTGTCTGGCTGGCTGCCCCCAGACTCATGCCTTTTCAGTCTAAGTCTTATCATTACAACAAAAAATGACCCTAGCCAGTTATATACATCCTAATGGTTTTTCTTTTCTTGTTTTTTACGCATTCGTATGGTGTAAACTTTTGCATTTCAGCAAGCTATACGCGCTTTTATGCATATGGATGGACATAGATACGTGGATCTAGCCACAAGCAAGACTTGACCCAGCATGTATTGGGAAAAAAAAAAAAAAAATCACACCCAACAAAACAATAGCTTTGCTGGGTATGTTATTAAATATTATTCTCTGGATTCTTATCATGAACTGAGAGACTGACTAACTAAATGCCCATGTAGCACAAAAGGGAATGGCTGTAAAGAATAAAGTTCGAATTTACATGTATCATGTATCCAAATAAGAGAGAGAATATAATTTACTATGGGCTATATGGTACACAGGTGGGCCAACATCTGTAACATGTATGCCCTATCATCAAAATCTTTTTATGCATATAAAAAGGACAAGTAAAAGAGTAATAAACATGCCTTTCAATTCTACACCACGCTGAAAATTGTCTTTACTAGAACCATCTTTGGCAATTCCCATATCATTAGTTGCAATGCCGATAACCTTGTTATTTGCATCATATAAAACCTGACAAATTATATAATATATCAATGCACAAAATTCAAAATTTTCACGCACTAAAAAATCGTGTCAAGCAAACATAGAAATACCTCACTAGCAGCAAAGCCTGGGTATATTTCAACCCCTAATTCTTCAGCTTTCACTCCCAACCAACGTACTAGCTGACTCAAACTGCATCACAACATGTATGACCGTAAAATGTCCTAATAATAGGCACCACTAGAATCCGAAAGATAAATGCAGTAGTCAAGTGCTCATATATATAAGATTTATGAAGTCTCAACCTGAAAGCCCCACAGAAAATATAAATTTATATTTATGAAACAAAAGTAAACAGAATATTCAAATTTGACAGAGGCATACAACAGCAAAAAAATCTTTACCAATATACCAGCAAAGGAACATTAATGGGGTCCATCAAACAAAAAAGAACGGAACCCTATTTTTAAATGTATGAGTGACATCAGCAACTCAAACATAATTGACTCGGCCTTCTTTGGTGGCACACGAATCATAATTGTTCAGAAAGGAAAAGGGAAAAAAAAAAACTAAGAGAAGATGAATGTGAGTATATATAACAGGAGCATAACAGAATGAACAGAGATTTCCAGGTAATTGTGTTGAACTTTAATCATAATTAGGTAGCAACATAGTGCAGTAACTGTAAAAGCTAAAGGTTCCATGGTATAAAAAAACAAAGCAGAATGAATCCACAAGAAATGTGATTCACTAAATTTTTTGCCAGGTGAAATAAATATCTAGAATCGTGGATATGAACATACTCTTCTAGGTTCTTGCTTCAGTTTGAAGTCATGACATTATATAATTACCTTATAACGTAGTTTCCTTTGTTATCAAAAGGACAAGGAAGGGGAAATGCACGATCCTTGGTGAGTAAGCAAAACTTATCAGAAGAAACAGGAACATTGATTGGTGCCTGCAAATAATGTAGGCAGAACATTTGTGAAATGACGTCTTTTCAATGCACAAGCCATTCCGAAATCCAAAGTCAATAACATGTCATGCAATTTTTTGGCTTAAATTGTAAGATTTGCATATGCAAAAATCTAGTTTGCAACAACATAAGATAGCAAAAATATGCCTTAGAACTTTCAGTAAGAAGATGTTAGGAAAGGATCGACCGACACTAAGCCTGTGATAATGTAGATTTGAATTTTCTAGATTATGTTACCTCTGTGATAGGCTTTACGTCGCATTGGAGGTCATGGATCAAGAAATGCCACGATCACTTTAGGTAGCATTGGAGGTCATGGGTCAAGAAATGCCTCAATCCAATAATGTATGTCACGGTTATTAATTGAGAACCTAAAGATTGGTTTAATACTTCAAAAACATTGAGACAGTGCCTTCATATGTCACTTTATAGGTGAACATGCTCAATTGACTGCTTTCTGAAGCCAAAATATGCAGGTGTGGTTGAAGATTTTGTGTCAGCAGAGATAGACCAACTCCAATTCGTTTGATAAAATTAACCAACTGATTTTTGGCTAAGAAGAGAACCATCATAGCATCAGCAGCCGCATCCACAATTTGAAACCTCACTCAACACTGATAAGATTTTATTTTTCTTTTACTTCTTCCATATTTAGGCGAGTATAAAGCTCTACTGTTCATACAAATCACAGGGAAAAAAAAAAAAAAAAAAACTACTCTACTTTTCATTATCACACTGGAATTGTCTATAAATATCAACTAAATTTTCATCATAATTTTATGAGAATTAAGAAGTCAACCAAAATGCACGAGTGAATCTCTCCCTCGGGCTGTGTGTGAGTGAGTGAGAGAGATTACCTAAAATCATCGAGGATGAGAAAAGATAGTTTCCTCTTACTACACATATACTTAAACAGATGCATCTCTTGATTTGTCAACCTTTGTATCCGACTACCTCTCAGGAAAAAACCTTAGAATACCACTGCTTTACTATTAATGAAGTGAAAATTCATGCTGGTCTGATTAGAGAATATTAGTCATATGATTGATCCATACATCACCAAACAGTTACAATTTCCACAAATGATAGCCAAATAAGAATAGACTCTTGATATTGGTCAAACTCAAGTGATTGGATAATAGGCTAAAGATATAAAGCATTTTCCCAACTACTTTTTTTTATAAGTATTTTCCCAACTACTTCAAGTTGTTTAAATCTATGTTACCCGGACTCGGGTACATGTGGCAGGTGCAGGTGTGCATCCAGGCATCAGAGATGTCAAATCCCCAAATGGACACATGGACACTGCTAAATATTTTTATTATCTATTAAATAAACACTGCTAAATATTATATAGAGTAAAATAATTTCCTTATGTTACATAGTGTTTAATATAGGTATTTCACTCGTTTTGAAGCAATAATATAATAAAATTGATCCAGCTATGTTTTTTAGGTGCATGTACAACCAAAAGTATCAGACACGTATTCCATACCCATGACCGAGTAAAGTGTGCCCGACAAGGGTACTTCAACAATACGAGTACTTCAACTACTTTTGAAGAGTCCATGTAACATAGGCTTAAATGAATCCTATTTTTTCCATTCCGCTCTATCTAAGGCGATACCTTGAGTCAAACCACATGAAACCACATGTTATCATATCTTTTCTAACCCTACCGATGCTAATTTTAAATTTCCATTTCACCTAGTACTATCCTCAATGGTTATTTCCACACATAATGTTTATATTGGACCCAACAATAGTTTTGCGCTGGAGGCCAAGCTACCTAACACAGCCCCTCCTTCTTCCTGACTTGGGACCGGCTGTGCAAAGATATATACTCTATGAAATCTCATGTTCAAAGGAATAAGAAAATTAATAAATCAAATGATTTTGAGATATTATGTAATAGCCAATTCCCATTATTTCTGAATTCTACTAAAAGAATAAAACCTCACTGATGGATGGTACATGAACTAATAGAACACAAAACATGTAAAACTGACCTTTCTTAAAGTAAAAACAATCTCAAATGGAAAACCTTCCTATTTCCTAATGAGATACATACTGGAAGTTGCATATTCTTCTGTCAGGACTATTTTATGCAAATAAAAACTTCTCCACCTGTAAAAAATTAAAGGAAAGGATCCTCGTATACCCAAGCTAAAGTTTTTTTTTTTTTTTTCCTAGTCCAAGCTAAAGTACTGTACATCAAGTTTCAACAGGGAACATACGTCTAAATAAGTAGTGATGCAGTGAGTAAACTAGGAGGAAGCACAAAAGCAGGGAAAATTATACCTCTTCCTGTTTCCATTGGGGAAGAAGTTCATCCAGTGCCCGGGGCTCAAAAACATTCCCCGATATGATATGAGCACCTAGAGTAAATGGGAATCAATAATTACAATAAGCAGAAGTTATCACTAAGGTATCCAGTAGTCAAACCCCAAAACTATAGAAATTGATAAAAAAAACATGTTCTGTTCTTTTCATACAAAAACACTAACAAAGTTCATTCAACTGGCAAACATAAAAGATGTTTGCAAAGGCTATTTGTGGTGCCATCTAATCAGGTGTGGTTTCTTGTTTTCAGGAAGGGGCTGTAAACTTGTAATTAACACAAGTAGGAGGTGGATGTACAGGTACAGCTTTAAGAGCTCTTCGCTCAATGCCATCAAAGAGTGAGGAGCCAGATGTACACGCATGGCTGCATCCATATTGAGATCTTTTTTGCATCCTTTTCACTTTTGGTCTTTCCACTTAAAGTTGGGACTAACGAACACATTCAATCTGTAGTATATTTCTTTGTTTCAGTGGCAGTTTTGGACATACTTTTAACAACGGATCACCTAGTTCCAAATAGATGGCCCTTGCAAAAATGGGTGTACTGAGTAGAAAAGATCTGAAATGGTGAACTATCTCCTGATTGACCTTTAGTCTTTTAGTGCTTTGACTTCTACACATCTATCCTTCCGAATTACCCAATAATAATAATAATGAGGAGGAGGAGAAGAAGAAGAAGAAGAAGCAGAAGAAGAAGAAGAAGAAAGACAGAAAGAAAGGAAGAAAAAAAAAAAAGTATTTGTCCCTCCTCCACGGGATGCTAGGAGGAAAATGTGAGACTAGAGGATTTATCGCAGCTTTCCAAGAATTTCAGACAACCAAGTTTTTGGCAAGTATTTGTCCCCTCAATCTATGCTTGTCAGACCAAGACTTTACCATTGCAGCGAACGATGACTTTTTGAGTTGGCTCATAAGAAAAAGAGAGCAGGGGATTGAAAAAAAAAAAAGGGAGAGAAAGTAAAGGCATCAGGTCCAGCAGCAATAAGTAATAAATCCGCATAAAACTAACTTGTTCTGTGGAACTGTACAACTCATTCCAATTCAACATAGACTAAACTTCATTTGAGGCTCATGAAGACATTGGGTTCAGCATTAAAAGACAAAATTCCATGTGAAAATTAGAGGGTTCATGTATAACTCAATTCACTAAAGCAAAGCATAAACAAACCATTTGGGCTTCGAAGCATAAAATTCGTTTCACTATATTTCTCTTTCTAGGTGTATATTTCGTTTCACTATATTTCTCTCACTACATCGAGTGAAGTCCCCTTGTGTAGTCCTAGTAGCACCTACTACATAAACCACATCACTTTGCAATTGTTACTCAAGGCTTAGTCACTTACTTCTGCTCACCTTGTCCCTATTTTCTTTTTCTTTTTTTTATTTTTCTTTTTTAATAGGCAAGCACACTCACACCTGCCCTATGGGGAGGTGGATAAATACCACTCAATCCCAGCTTTGGTGGTTAAATGACTTTCTTCTGCCTTCACTAGAGTTAATCTCTTTCCATTGTCCTCATTCCAAACTAAGCAAAATCCAATACCCAAATTCAATCTCGTATAAATCATCACTTCCTATTAGGATGTAAAACTCCATTTTTCTCCAACAAGAAAACTGAGTGACTACTGAGCTTAAACAAAGCAACCCAAATTACCCAAAGAAGCAAGGAATCATACCAACTTCGGCACCTTTCTCAACAACACAGACTGATAAATCCACATCCTTTTCGCGGCATATCTGCTTCAACCTTATCGCCGCCGATAACCCAGCAGGCCCAGCTCCAACAATCACAACATCATACTGCATAGAATCTCGGTCCGATTCACCACTGAAACTCCTCACACCACCCACCAAATCCCGAGTTCTCCAAAACCCACTTCCACTGCGATTGGAATTTTCTAATTTTTTTGGATTTAGCAAACGTGAAACGGAACGGTTTACTGAGAGTTGGGTACCGGAAAACCTCGGATAACCGCCAGATCTTCTGTGAAAAGCCAAGTACCCATATATGGTTTGGGCTGAATCTGTGAAATTGGCTTCTTTTGGTGGAAACGCAGATGGATTGAAGAGATGTGAAGGGATTGAAGGAGTGATATGCGGGTGCAATGAGGTTGAATTGCAAAAAAGTGTTGAACGGTAATGGTGTATTGAGGAACAGTAGCGAGAAGAAGAAGAGATGGACCTTGATTTAGATTTGGAAGAAACCAAGAGAAACTTGATCATGATTGCCAGTAACTTTGGGGATGAGATGAGTTTGTTGTTTCTGTATTCAGTGAGAGAGAGAAAGAACGAGAGAGTACATAATCCGAACTAGGTTGGGGCGGGGACGGAAATATTGGTAATCCGCCCCGACCCGATTATAGGTTAAAATTATATATATACCCTTGTTCTAATTTAGTATTCTCTAAATACCCTTCTACATTGGGTTTCTTCACATTTCTATTCTACCAAACCACCGCAAGCAGCCCGCCGCCCGTCCCCACTGACGATCTCGGCTCTCCACAGCTCGTTGGCACAGTCCTGTTCCGATCAACGCCAGCTATGTCCGATTAGATCCTGGTTTCGTGAAGCAGTGAAAGTACTTTATCTCTCTCTGTATATATGAGTGTATATATTTATATCCATGGACAATCCATTTAACAATATGAAATGTGGTTTCTGTTGGTTCGACATGAATCCTAACTCATTAAACATGGCAATTTTGTGGCCAGTGACCAAAACATTAAAGCGTCAACAAGAATCCTCTGTTTAAAGTTTCTGTTATTGTATCTCAATATATATATATATATAGATAGATAGATTGAAAACCTAATTTCACACCTCAAATGCCTCAGTCATTAGGGTTTGCGAAGAGAGGAAGGTAAGAAGTTAACTATTGAATCTCTGTTGCTCTGTCTCTCGACTTTTTTTTTTTACTTTAATGTGTGTTCTATTTTGATTATGCATTCAACTGCTTGATTGATTTGTATGGTAACTGCATATGCATCTTGATGCTTGGGTTTGTTGTTATCTTGTTGTTCTCGATTTTTCGGAAATGTGCATACAATTACAGGATGTTATGAGTTATAGAGTTTGATGTTTTCTAATAGGATTTAAGATCCGCGTCAAAACCGTAACTATCCAATGGCAGCACTCTTCAGAGCTCGAACAACTTCATCAACAATCCTCCTCAACAAGCTCTTCAGCCCCACCATTCGTCCATTCAGCGCCTCTCCCAGTACTTTTCTCTCACCTATTCATTCATGTTGTCGCTTTATGTGTGTGTTTGTGTTTGTAGAACTCCAATGGCTATGTTCTCTTTCTCTCTCTTTTGCAGATGCTTTTGATACAGTGTCTCACACCTCAACGCCTGGCAAGGCCACAATGTTGATGAAACAAATGTTCTCGCTTGACATCAGCTCTCAAATCGGAAGCTGCATGCCAATCTCAATGATGCGAATTGGGATGCTCATTCACAACATTGAGATTAACCCTGGTCAAGGTGGAAAGCTTGTCCGAGCGGCTGGTACATCCGCAAAGATCTTGAGAGAGCCATCGCAACATCGTATGGTTGAAATTAAATTGCCTTCAGGCGTAAAGAAATTGATCGATACTCGGTGTCGGGCCACCATTGGAACTGTTTCGAACCCCAGCCACAAGGATAAGAAGCTTAGGAAGGCCGGCCAAAGCCGATGGTTGGGACGGAGGCCGGTCGTTCGCGGCGTGGCGATGAATCCCGTCGATCATCCTCACGGAGGCGGTGAAGGAAAGAGTAAGAGCAGTGGTAATCACGGGAGGTGCTCACAAACGCCATGGGGTAAGCCGTGCAAGGGAGGCTACAAAACTGCATCACCGAAGAAAAAGAAGTAGGCTTCAGTGGATTTGCTAAAATGATTTTCGTCTACTTGTTTTTGTTTCTGTTTCCATTCTCTTGTTGTTTCTGCCTGACGGTCACCCAATTTAATCTGGTACCTTTTTGCAGTTATTACAACCACTTTGTAGATTTCTTTGGCATTTCATGCATTTGGTTTCTGGATTAACCCGCATATGACCTCACTAATTGACCTTAGTCTGTGTTTGTTCAATTTATTTTACATCAAACCTTGAGCCTCTCCAAACCTGTTTCTCATCCCTATATCAATCCTCCAGGCAAAATAAACCAACTGCTTCTTCAGTTTGGAAATCTTGAATGGTCTCTTTGGTGAGGCAGGATTCCTTAGCTGAAGTTTCTCAACTTCCATCACCACAATCGAGCAATGAATCAATCTGTTAATTTGATCCGCATTAGAGATTGTAAATAGTTGTCGTTTCAGCACTTAATGCTTATAAGCACTACATTAGTATATAAATCACTTCTCTCTGTTTGAGGGCTTATCTTAGTTAATTTCAAGTTACTGCATTGGCATTCTATGTTGATCTGTTCATGTAAGATTTTTTCTTTCTCTAATGAGTGTTACTATCATTAATTATCTTAAACCATATGCATAAAATTGACACTTAGGTTTAGTCACTAAATGATGATGGAATCACATTTCCAGTCTCTGTGCTTAGTCCCTGCAACCTGACCATAACAAAAAAGAGGGTTCATTTTTGTTTCATTAGATGGATGCAGTCAGAACAAGCAGTGGATTAGAACCCCAAAACGGCACTATTGCGATGATGTTTGCATTTACTTTACCAATGGAAAAAGACGTTTTCATTTAGGAAAATAATGCTGATAGGTAGAGAGAATGTTGATGCAACAACACCTATGCTATGCAGATTTTATTTAGCAACTTCTATGAGTTTCAAGTGTGTTTAAAGACTTGGGAAATAATATTACACTTGATGTGGATGATCAATTTTATTATTATTATTATTATTATTATTATTAAAACAAGTGCATAGACTTTGCCAACTGACTTCTTGTAGATCCTAAAATTTAATATCACAGGTCGTGTTGTTTGTGAAAGTAGTAAGGTTGGTAGAGAATTGGGATAGCCACTACTAAGACATGAGTGCAACATTTTTCATACCTCCAACCAACTTCCAAGATCACACATTCTTTTTGTGCTCCCAAGATCATCTTTTCATGCAGCAGGTTCTTGAAATGGATATTTTATTGCCTCATCTTCTTCCAAAATGCTAATATATTGAGCTCCATACAAGCAACCGAAACACCAAATGTGTGTCAATTCAGCTTCCCTGAACCTCATGGCCAAACCAATGCAATCCATATCCTCTTGTTTGTATTCAATCATTATATTCACTTTCATTTCAGGCTTTGTTCATTCAATAACCCTCCAATCCGATATCGAAGCTCTTCGCAGCCTAAAGCAGGCAATTGATCCAATTTCAATCCCCAGATTTTCCTTCCTCCACTCTTGGAATTTTCATGTGGATCCTTGCCAAAGTTCCGGGGGAAATTTTCTAGGAATCTTATGTTCCTTTCCTCCGGACAACACAAGAAGCCGTATTACATCACTTGATCTTGATGCAGGTGGATACGATGGATTTCTGACGTCCGCAATAGGGAACCTGACAGAGCTCACCACAATTAACCTGAGCAAGAATAGGTTCCGGGGACCAATACCAGATACCATTTCCAATCTCAAAATGCTAACAAGACTTTCGCTATCTGAAAATTTTTTCACCGGCGGCCTACCAACCAGGATCAGTACGCTCAAGATGCTCCAAATTGTGGATGTGTCATACAACAATCTGTCTGGCTTAATCCCTGCCGCAATTTCCGGGATTCGAAGCTTGACCCAGTTAAGAATGTCAAACAATGGATTTACAGGTAGAATTCCCAACCTTAACGGACTATGGCAGCTAAACACTTTAGAACTTAGTAGTAACCAGCTCTTTGGATACCTGCCACAGCTTCCTACAAGCTTAAGAACATTGTCATTAAGCCACAATATACTTTCAGGGGGTGTTTCAACTTTAAGGCAGCTAAAACGCCTCCAAGTATTAGACCTGAGCCAAAACAGGTTCTCTGGTTTCATAGATCAGGCGATTCTCAACTTACCTGAGGTGAATCACATCAATGTTTCAGTCAATCGTTTCACATCAATTGCGGTGATCAAGATCAGTGGCGGAGGGTCACAGCTTCGGGTGCTTGATGGGCATAGCAACAATTTGCGTGGTCATTTGCCAGTGAATTTAGTCACTTATGCAAATCTAACAGCAATCAATCTTGGTCACAACCAATTCTCTGGTCAAATCCCACCTGACTACGGGAGAAAGCTCGGCCAGTCTTGGAGAAGCTTGTTCTTGGATTACAACTTTCTAGTGGGTAGTCTGCCTACACAGTTCAACCTTCTTGCAGTGAGGATCAGGGGCAGTCTCGCAAAAAACTGCCTCAGCTGTCCGAGAAACATTCTGTTGTGCAGCGGAGGGCAAAGGTCGGCTTCAGAATGTGTTGGGCAGAACCATGGCAGCCGGTGAGGAAGTAAAGTATTACAGCAATATCGTTCCGTAATGTCTTGAGGGATATCTGCATGATTTTAAAAATCCATTCCGAGTAATATAACTTTCCAGTGAATAAACAAGAATGATAATTGTCCTGAACATCATCAATACTGAAAACAACCTTTCTACTTCCATCTGAATTTTATGCGGTTATATTTCATCATACATCTTTCTAAAAACCTCAAGCACCATAAACATTTAGAGAAATATCTGGTAGTTGTTCACTTGTGACATTCACATTGATACATTCAGAACTCTAAACTAACCACCTAACAACAACAATAAAAATAATAATGAGAGAGAATACAATTTTTACGGAAATTAATGAGAAACCATATTCCCAACAGAACAAATAATTCCAACACTTCATTGGAAAAATAAAATGATCCCTACAGTTTTCCATGATTAGGACACAATTTCTTCATGGGCAACAGAACAATAAAAAGGCAAACAATAAAAATAAAAGAGAAAAGTGAATATCAAAACAAATATGCAGTTAAATATATTAATTTTAAAATACAATCTTTTTTTAATTTAAATAAACTTTACACCAAAATTGTGAAGGTAGAGTGTCTCTCTATGTACTTGCTCACATTACATATTTTTGGATATTATAAGATTTTACCTCAAATGCGTGCAGTACACAATTTGCAAAAAGAAATTCTAAGGTACATTCATAATCTAACTCAATGCTTCACACCTACGAAACACAATCCTACTTCGGCTTGGGCCTGCAGCTCTTCCAAGACCTTTACGAGCTTCTCACGGGATACTGCCGTCTCGATTTGCTCATTTAACATTTTCCTCACTCTGCATCCATGCACAAGAAAAAAAAAAGAACAAGCACCTAAGAAATAATACTAAATGAAAATTTATACAACATGGAAGAGAAGCAAATGATGAAATTAGTATATAGTTATTTTAATGTATGCCCAAACAGTTTTTAACACTATTTCAATTTTCCTGATCTAAAAACTTAATCCGTTCAAGGGACATGCAATGGAACTTGATTTTATTTCTAGCTGCAGTTCAAATGAGGTGACGAAATGATCAGATCACTTGGGCTGTTTTTGGTACTTTCACGAAATGTAGATGGAAATTGTTTGTGAGACTTTCCTTTAACAATGAAGTTTTTCCAAACGAGGATGAATGACCAGCATACATCTTAGGAAGTGAACGAAAATATAGAAGAAACAAGTATTTTTGGATTAGTCTTGGTACTTTTTTTGTCAAACATCGACTTCCTGCACCAACCAAAGTAGGGTGGTAATTCAAGATAATCCCAATTGGGCGACCACTTACCAGTTTCCTACTCTTTGTTCCAGGGCTTCATGTCCTCCAACATCCCATTAAGTGGCTTCTTGAAAGAAAGAAGAAAAAAAAAAAAAAAACTTTTGCCTGCCTTACGCATATTCTACTTAAACGAGGGTTAAATTATGTAATAAACTATTACAATCTTAATCTACCAAGATTTTGTGCAGAGTTAAATATCCTACTAATAGAAAACAACAATAACATGGAGATATGCTGACCATAAGATGGCTCTATTTTTACATATTCAATGTGTTTTTCAACTGTAAAGAAATCACCCATTAACCAACAAAGGTTGTATGTAGCCTAGTGGTACTTCCTCGCCTTCCATCGTAGAAGGTCCAAGGTTCAAGTCCCCATAGGGACAAGTGGAGATAAGAACTATAAACAAGGCAGCATGGTCGGTAACTTGACGCCTGTTTCTACAGACAAAGACCCAGAGACAAGTTCATCTACCCCAATGTGAGGTGGACCTTCAGCCAGATTCCAGAAGCATTATCAGTTGCTTGATTTTTGGTTTTATTTTTTATTTTGGAAAAGAAAGTAAAATAAAAATGGACAGATCCATGACAAATTTGACCCGAGTAATGCAAGTGGAATAGATCTGAATCCCCAGCCCGAAGAAAAAAAAAGTAAACTAATAAGTATGAACATGTACCTATGAACGACTGCAGTGTCTCCATGACCAGTGCAAATAATTAGCATAGCATTAGTAGGCAAGCTGCAGAAGAGGCTTCTGACTCTAGCATCCATGCAAGTTAGAACGTCCTTTAGTTCAGAGGTGACACTGTATTTGATGCCCTTTTTGCTGGTAGACTTCTTGTTACATGTAAGCAATGATATCATCTCCGCAAGCCTTCCATTTAATTTCTCTGTGTCCTCTGCTTGTTTCTTGAAATAAGAATTTAATTCTGAAAATTGAGCCCAGACAAACTGCACCTTTTCGTTTTTAACCTAAAATGACACCAGGAAGTTACAAAATAACCTTGCTACCACGGGCAGTTCTTATCTCTGCCAAGCCACGGGGAAGAGAATTTCTGATATAAACTCTTTACCTCTTTTATGCTCTTTGAAAGAGCTTCATCATCAGAAGACACCGGAATTGCATGGGTCAATTCAGAAGCGAACCGCTTCACAATGGATATATCATCAATCAAAGTAGAAGCTTTGCCACACTCATTTAGAACTGCAAGGAGCTTCGTCCGCGTGTATGTTGGTGGTGAACCAAAATCAGGTCCTGATTCCAAAAGCACCAGGGCCAAAAGCATGCATAGAGTCGACAAAGTTCTATATGAGTTAATATAATTAAAAACCACACAAAAACAAATGAGAAGAGTTTCAATTACAGCATGCACAGAGTAGGGTTTTATCTCCTTCTACCCAACCCACCCCTATCCCATTTATAAGCTTCTCATACCCATCCCATTAGGGGCAGGACGGAAAATTTTGCCATCCCAACCTACAATACTCAATGAACCAATGCCGATTGAAGAACATAAATTTGGAACCCCAAGAACCCAGGAAAAATATTTCAGAAATACATTAATGGCATCAAATTCAAGCCAAGGCTAAGATGAAGTGTCAGCTAAATATTGATGCAATAGTATCAGAAAACAAGACAATGCACAAGGGAAAATTAAATATAATGGAAGATCTGCATGAATAAGCATGCCTAAAATTTTTTTTTTTTTTTCCTAGTTGGTACTTATACACACTTGTCTCTTCTGAGACTTAAACCCCTGACCTCCCTTTGAAAAGTAAGAGGCTGATACCACTGGGCCACTGGCCCGTTGGTAGCATGCCTAAAATCATAGTCAAACAAGAGAATGACCCCTTGGAAGCATGCCATCCAAAGGGTCATTCTCTTGGAAAACACAGGTGTGAGGCAGCCTCAACCATAGTCAAACAAGAACATGACCCCTTGGAAGCATGCCGTCCCATGGAGAGGAATGATGACAATCTTAACCTCTCGATTACCTTGTACTTAAGACAAACTCCAAGATCGGCAAGTTCACATAAGAAATAAAGATAGAGATACACAGAGAGAGAGAGAAAGAGAGGAGGGCGTTTGAGGAGGATCTTTTTTGGTACAGCATAAACACCATCTCCAACTGAATTGGGAAGAAAAACCATCAACCTTTTTTTGTATATCTCCAGTATCAGTATTAACTATTTAGTGAATTTTGATTTACCAAGTGAAAACAAAGATGGGTTTCCTCCTCCTCTGAAACATGCTGTCATTGAATAAAGTAACAGAACAAAATTAAATTAACCACAACTTCAATTACTGCAAAGAAGATACAGGACTTGTGAAATAGAGGAACCAAATCGCAAGCAAAAACAGAAAAGAAAAAATAAAGGACACATAATTGTGCGGACAGAACTCAAAATATTGGAACAATCACAGTTATGACCTCACACAATTGCATCCTAGATACAAATTTTCTGTTATTAATCTCAAATTCTCAGATAATATTACAATTTTGACAAATAATGCAATAACAAACTAAATATACAGAAATTTGTTAAATCAATATTTTAATTGTTACTTATTCTGCACAAACTTCAACAATTCCAACCATAAATAGTACAATGCAAATGCATAAAGAAATCACTTGCCATGTTTAATCTTTAACAGTGCCAGTTCCATAGCAGCTTTAGCATCTTCTATACTATCGTGACCATTTCCTGAATCCTGAATCTCCCGAGAAAGATATCTCCTCGTAAGCACACGAAGTGCGGTTTTGTAAGATCTACCGCGGGGGTGCTTGTACAATACAGCTGTATCTATCACCAGATTGTGAGAGATCTTTAATGCTATCAAATCATTCTCCAAAGAATGCCCAACTAGAATGGTCTCTTTGTAAACCAGCTGCAGGAAGTCTTCCTGAATATAGGAAACAACTGTAAATAAATGTATGAATATTTGTTTTGAACTTGAAATTAATCATTGAAGCAATCATAGACATGCATGGGTAACTCGAGTTACAGCATAGAATAAAATATACATATATATAATGTCTATCCAAATAGTGAACCTGAATATCTTTAAGAGTTGTAGTCACCCCATTCAACATCTCACACGTGATTCCACTGTACCTGCAATAATTTAAAATATGCTTAAGTGAAACCAATGTAAGGGGGGGAGGAGAGAGCAAAAGAGGCTAATTAGGTGCTCTAACATTGCAAAAAAAATTGAATACATCACTTTTGTCATGCGTAACGTTTCAAGTATAGCATTATATATAAAATGCAAGGAAAAAAATGTCAACAGCATACAACCATGAAAGTCTTTTAAGAGCCTAATTTGAGGCTCATCGGTATTAAATTGCATCAGGACTTCAATAAGCAACTGTCTTGTTAAGCATACCCTTCATGAACCAATCCACAATTGAAGGTGCTGATTTTCCACATTGGCTGACGTCCATGTCCCTCATGGTTCTTTAGTAATATACATAGCATGGTTAGACTCGTGTCTGTAGCATTGAGGCTAATATCCTGCCTCTCAGAATAAATGTCAACACCTTATGCCTTTTGTGTCTATAAATCAATGGGTAATTTATACCGAAACCCCCCTAGGTTTGGGTTTATTACAGGTAGATAAAACTTGACCCATTTTTTGACAATGACACCCCCAGGTTTGCTCCGTTCGACAAAGACAACACTAAACACACTGACACATGATAAAATGACCAGAATGCCCTTTGACTTGTAAATTGACCAATTTAAATAATGAAATTACAAATTTAACCTTAATAACTCTTTATATGGACAAAAATACCCCAAACCCCCATTTCTCACCCTCTCTCCTCCATATATATACATATACACACACACGCACACACACACACACACACACATATATATATATATATATACACGTGACCTGAGAACCCAATTTCTCTCTCCTCACCCTCTTCTTCACTTTCCCCAACTTTTCTCTCTCTACAAGTATATATGTATATCTAAACCCGGGTGAATCACTTCTTGCTCCCCTCTATGCTACTTTCTTCATCACCCAATCAATTAGATAAACAGAGCACCGAAACAATATAAGCAAGTTCTTCCTCTGCTTTTGACCGGTCAAACCCACATGAGTGCATGCATATGATCAATAAAAACACATTATCAGAGACCTAACATTCACCTGCAATTGCACCAACTAAAGTAGAGTTGAAGTCTGCCGGACTGAAACACAAAAAACCGAACTGAAGAGAAGTACGCAGGACTGAACCACACCGGTTTGAACGGAAGAGAAGTCAATTGGTCACCATAACTGAGGTACACTAGACTGATACATGCCCAACTGAAGTTCTGCCCATTTGATCACTTGGAAATTCTACTATTCATTAAAATCTTAAACCCATCTGTCACAATTCATCAACCCCAAATCCTAAACCTTGGTCATTCAAACAAACCCTATTCACCGTCAGTGACAAACCAACCCGGAGTGGTAGAGATTGTAGAGCTTTTGTGAAGTAGAACGCAGCTTGCTGGAGTGGTATTCCGTTGGCCGGCGAACCACCTAGATGTTGATTGTGTCGCTCCAATATCAAGTGCACAAGTTGCCGGACGTTCGATTCGATGCAATCGGAGGCTTGAACAAGCTCGTCCATGAAATCAAACCCAGAATCGCGAATATTTGAATTGATGCAAGTGAAATTGACGAACTAGGTCGGATTGAACGAGATTGAAGATTGAAATTTAGTGAAAACGGGAATTTGAGTGTCCAAGTGAGTGAATTGGGGAATAGATCCCACATCGTTCAACAGAGAATTCCAATCCTCGGTGTTATTGAGGAAATTCCACCGCCGATCGACCCGATCCAGAAGACCCACTTCCCCATTTGCATAAACCCAAATTGAGAGAAGAGATATATATATATATATATATATATATATATATATATATATATATGTTTTTATATCCATATATATATGGATATAATATATATATATATATATATATATATATATAGCAACCCAGATTGAGAGGAGGGTGGTGGTGGGGGTGGAGGTTATGGTGGTGAGTGAAGAGAGAGAAAGAAAGAAAGAAGGGGTGAGCGGTGGTGGGTGGTGGTGTTGGGTAGACAGAAGAAAGGTTAGAGAGAAAAATGGAAGGATGGGCCCTAATATGTGGTTGGTATTGACTGAAGGGCAAAATGGTCTTTCTAGAGTTTTGATACTTTATCATTAAAAGTAATATAACATTGAAGGGCAATTTAGACTTTTCACACCTTTGAAGGGCCTGTATGGATCTCATTTCTGATAGGGGGTGTCATTGTTCAAAAATGGGCCAAGTTGTATCTACCTGTAATAAACATGCAACTAAAATTTGTTTGTTCTGGTAAATAGAAATTTCAGTAAGTGGGCATTTAGCATCTGACAGGGAAAAATAGCAGCAGCCAAAACTCTACAAGAGAAGGTCCAAATGTTCTTACTTTAAAGCGTACAGAGTCATTTTTCAAAGGAGTTCAACACCTGAAAGCATTCAATCTTATGATAATAATGTAATCAATTTGCTTTAAGTGAAAGAACACGAGCTGTCAATAATAAGGACTTTACCGTTTAGGGCCTTTGGGGGTTGCCTGGTGCAATGGTAAAATTTCGGGTTTTTGTAAAGTGTGATTTGAATCCTGAAAGAAGCCACTTTGTGCATATAAAGTCTCGGACTCTGTCCAGTCTACCCCACCCATCCAAATCTATAAACTTGTAATCTTCCAAAATTAATCAGAAACAATCAATTAAAAATTTTGTAGCTAAAAAGCTTTTTTAACAGGTTCTAATTGCCTTGTACCTACTGCTGATTTCCCAAGGAATCCTGAGTGATCACCTGGAAAACTCTAGATATAATCACCCTGATATTAATTTTCTCCTTCCAATTCAGTTCCATCCTAAATGAGCATCATTATTATTGTTTCTGAATCCAAGAGAAATAAAACCCTTCAACTACACTATCAGATCCTAATCCTATTTTAAGAATCTTATCTTCCAAACCCTAATCATTCTTAAGCTACCTTCCTCAATCCCTTATTATAAGGCTTCACTACAGAAAATCCTGCATCAGCATCACAACAGTATGACCAATTAGCAAGTGCTTAAGGGTTCTCCCTTCAGCATTAAGACAAAATTGCCTAGTTTCAAGTTCAACCTACATATATTACTACTAAATTTCCCTCCACCACAGGAGACTATCAAATTGATCCTTAAAGGCCTCAAAAACATTGATGAGAAGCTCAAAAGAGATCCTTCAAAAACCTCAAAAGATCTATATTTGCTCCGCCGTTCCATCAATCATGCATTAATACCTCTTAAAAGGGCAATATTTATTAATTGCAGAACCAACCTATCTAACATATCTTTAAGTTGACCATAAAAATGCAGAAACTAAATTTGAGAACAAATTGTTATCAAATAAATTCTAACTTTCCACCTCTTATTTATTTTCAATCAACAGAAAAAAAAAAAAAAAAACTTTCTACATATTGAAGATAAAAAATTTCAGCATATCTCAAACTAGCAGGAAGTAAAATTGCTAAAGTTAATATGACAACATACCTAGTGTTGTAATCAATGATAGAATTTGATGGTTTAACCAATTTATCTAACATGACCTGTGAAGCCGAAAATACATACAAGGAGAAACATTTATTAATAAACAAGAATTCTAAAATATACAAAAGATGCAGCAAATTATCTGGCTTTAAACCATAATAAAGAGTGGATTACCAAAAATCAGAAGTTATGAATCTATACAGAAAAATCTCAACAGAAGTTCCAAGTCACAAAACGTCAAAACACTAATTATTATAAAATTACGTTATAGCCAAGCATTAGGTAAGTAGAATGTACCTGTCCTTTAAAATCCACCAGAGTTACTCTCGTGAGCTCAAATCCTTCGCTTGTGACACACTACCAACAAAAAGATTGGGCAAAATAAAATGAGAATAAAATGGTCACAATTATACCAGCCATAGTACTACAGTAGAATAACGATTTCTTGTTTATTACCAACCTCCAGCAAAGAGCAGAGACATCTAAAAATCGAGCACTCGTTCATTAACAAATAAATAAATAAATTCACAAAGGTTAGATATTTGGTAAGTATATTATCCTCACAGACATTAGTCTACAACTGTCAAAGAGTTAAAAGTTCTCACTATTACCAGCCCCTAAACTTACAGCCAAATCAAGGGCACTCGACTGATTAATACCTTAAGAAAGTTAACAAGTAAAAGTGATTGTGAACTTCAAACAGATGTGCATTTGATGTTGTTATTTGGGACTAGCTTTACTGAGTATCTCATTAGATAAGATTTTGAATCAATCCAATTCTATACCCATCCTATACACCTATACATATATAAGCCTGTGTAGCACCAAGAACTCAAAAACAATCAGTAAGTCATTGAAAAAGTTGCTCAAGTTCCTTGGATCTAATCAAGTTTTAGGACCTGTCCAAAAACGAAAATTCAAGTTTCAGGAGATCTATTCGAAATTGGAAATTATTGACATTTGCAGAAGAAAGCTTAAATTGTAACATAATTAGCAGCAGAAAACTCATCAAGACCAAAACACAAAGGAAAACAATTTACTCAAACAAATGCTAATTTTGTAAGAGATCAAAAAGTATCCTAGATCGCCTTAACAAACTTAAATCCAGGTCCTTGTTTCATTTTCTCAATAAGTTGGTTAGCCGCTGAGACCAAAAAGATGAAAACATCAAAATCGCGAAAATATAGCAGAGATGTACAGGTCACTTAGATTCCATTTTGCATCAGCTTAAAAGCCAATTAGAAAGACAAGAAAAAACTAGTCAGCATAATTTCCAAGTGAACCAATCTGCGTCAGAAGGAAAGACGATACTAAATCAATTAAACATTTTGTTTAGCCAAACATGACGGTCAATGTTGTGCTGACTTGTTAAGAGGAAACCAGACCCCTTTTCTTGCATTTCAAATGAGGGAAGGGGTGTGATATTAGTCTGGCACAAGAAGTTTTAGTTCCATCCATTACATAGGCATGCCTAAAATGGGTGTATTGATTAGTTTTGTTCTTGATCATGATATAACTATACTTCTCTTGATAAATAAGATGGATGATATTATTCTGTTCCCATAACCTGAATACTTTGTTATGAGATTCAGCAAATGTTAATATTATTATCCTCGAAAAATCAAACAGCAATATATACCCAAATGATATCAACACCTACATCATCAACTTTATACCTGTTTCCTGATGCCCATGGTTACAGAAGGACAATGCAAGCTATAAGAGAATCAGCCAACAAACATGATTTGGATATACAAGAAGAACACAATACTTGGGCGGCATATTTCCAAGTAAAACATTCTGTTATTTTTAAGTCAAAGATTGAAATCTATAACCTTACCATTTCACAATCAAGTGCCAACAATTCATGGGGAGAAGTTTCCAAAGGAGCAGGAAGAGTTGAAAGAAAGCCTGCATTATGCAAAATTAAAATTTAAAAGTAAAATCAAAAGCTAATAAGATACAAAGAAGACAAAAAAAGAAATCAATATATAAAATTTTTGTTACCTGGTTGATTATAACAGTATCCATTATCTTCTAGTTCCTTTGCTGTAAGTGTGTAGTATGCAATGGGGAATGGTAAATCTTTAGTAAGATCAAAAGATGACGGGTTATCTGAATCAGTACTACAAGTTCCTGCATAAGGAAGCTAATGTAAGAAAGTTTTCAACATGACAAGCCATTTTGGCAAGTTCTATTTACTTCATAGAACAATACAACCTATGCTGCAATGGCATAGACACATCACGAATCTGGCATGATACAGTCATGCCAGCATATCAAATTCCTCAACTTATTCTACTTCTTTTGCTCCCCCTCCATCAAAACCTTCATTTAGTCTCACTTCTATTTTTAAAGATGTCCTATGTTTTTTCATCATGTGAAATAAACAATTATCATAAAGTTATACAAGTGTGCTACTAGATGCAATATTACCCAAATGCTAAATGATATCCCAAACGAAATAAATATAAGGCAATATATGTCCTTTCTCAACAGCCACGCAATAGCTCCATCTTAGAATAATAGTGGCTTCTTTTGCCACTCGCACAATAGGACTAGCACTCTAGTGAGAAATCAACAAACCTACATTGACACCTACTCATGCCAAGAAGAAATTTATGACCAAGTTACAAGCATGCGAGTGGAGCTTTCATAAGGAAGAGTAAAATTCCCTGGAATTGGACAATGACCTTGTTCAGGTGTCTGGGCAGGTTTGCTCAAAAGTGAATCAGCACTGTGCCTTTTTCTTTTACGCTTGCATGTTAGTAGTGCATCAATAGTCTGCATTCCATCTGATACACAGCTAGCATAAAACAAGCACCAAGAACCATAATTATTGCAAAATAAGAAAATTACGAATGCAAAAAGAAGAAAAGTAAGCATATATGTTACCAACCTAAGAGCTAAAACTGCCCGTGGAACGCCACAGAATTTCTTGAAACTACCAAGTAGTTTAGACTGTGACAGGTACAGAGCTGCATCGAGACCAGGGACATACAGCATAACCACTTTCGGAATCAGAGGCATGTTCTGCAGATCAAAATAATGCTACATTACCAAAATAATTTCTGCGACAAAATAATGAAGTTATGCACCATAAAATAAACCGACAAAGATTCTTATGAAGCAATAGAGGAATGTTCAAATTATACACACAATCCCTTTTCAAATGAAATAGAGTTACAAAAATAAATACATTAATGAATTGTGAAACAATCTTGAAAATTGGAAACAAAAAATGATGCAAAGCCCAAGGAATGCTGGATGGACGGAATTATGTTATAATATACTAATAAGATTTGGAAACTCAATCCCCCAACTGAATAAATCCTCTAATTTCCTTTCAATAGATGGTAAAATGGGAACGAAATCACTATCCACAGTATACAACCAAGAAGTCATGCAGATATTGTAGCTAACTGTTACAAGGGGTATTTGTCCCACATAAGATCCGGATGAAAAGTGAAAGGGGTATACATGGGCGAGTATGCAGCACTACCCAATAGCTTAAGATTTTGAGTAAATAGGCAAGCGTCCACCCGTTATAATTGGTATCAGAGCCAGACCAGTCCTTGATCCGGTGTCACGCCAAGCGTCCGACCCGAAAGATATCCAGGTGAGCCACTCGGGTAGGCAAGGTGGCCCGATCGCAACGAGGGTATTGCGAGTTCAGGTGGGAGAGAATGTTACAAAAGGTATTTGTCCCACATCTAATCCAAATGGAAAGTGAAAGGGGTATAAATGGGTGGGTATGGGTATGCAGCCCTGCCCAATAGATTAAGCTTTTGGATAAATTGGCAAGCGCTCACCCGTTACACTAACCATGTTTTCAAGTGTTGCAGACAGTACCAACCATATAAAATCTAGATGCACGGATCTACTCTAGTTGATTCTGTATATCCAAGTGAGAAACCACCATATAATCATATATATAAGATACAAAAGACCCACAAACCACCATATCATATATATAAGATATAAAAGAACCCACATTTGCAATATGCCAATTAACATCCATATCCAAAAAGCCAGCCATTTTTCCAGAAACTCTTTTATTAAATTGATTCACAAGAAATTGTGATACATAAACTCCAAACATAATAAGACCCACAAGGATCTATGGCCCAGAAAATTTCTATGGAAGTAACAGTTACCCAATCATAACCAAATACATATAGAATCTACCGTGTGGAAATAATAGAGAATGAACAACACCACAAAAGATGCTGGACTACTACAGCACATAACATTTGGATCAGCTTATTCTCTGAGAAGTGATTTGACTGTTAAAATATCATTCAACGAGACCATGCAAATAGGAAGTCACTTTGAACAGAAAAAAGAGATGTTGAATATCTATAGCTCGGAAAGCCACAATCCCAGTAGCCCATGGGCCTGCAGAAAGACCAGCATGCAAAGAATTCAGGACTGCACAGCCTCCCATTCTTCACACAGATCCAGTAGTAATACATGGTAATGCAAACAATTCTCAAAAAGTCAACCTCACAATCCAACCCCCTAGTACAGATAGATGTATGATAACCAAGTAACTCATATGGTCAACTCACACCCATGATATTCGTATCACGGGCATGTCCACTCATGGAGGTGAAGATGACAGCATCTAATCAGAATATATAAAAAAGATTAGTCCGGACAATAAACGTCATGCACTCATCCTCCATATCACTGAAGTTCCAAATATGCCTACCCTTTCAGAGAGAATCGTAAAGCATCTGTCGTACAATTTCATTCAAAATGCTAAAATTTAAATTCCTAAAAGTTTTTGCACTTTAAATTGAAATTCCATGACCCTCTTCAATTAACTAAAAGGAAAACCAAACTGCACTGTAAATATGCTATTATTATTTAAATTGGAGTCCAATAATCTAAATAAGCAAAAGTCTCCTATATCACATAATAGACTAAGTGGGGTACCACAGGTGCACTCCCATTCATGATCCATGCTCTATGTAACATTAATGCAAGGCTATGTTGGGCTCTATGATCTTGTGTGTTCAGGCAATCAATCAAACAGTGCCAAGATCTTTTAACCATTCTGTGGGAATTCAATGTGCCATGCCCAAATTCATCTGGCCAAAAAGTTCCACTAAATGCATCACTCTTCAAGTAGGGGAAAACTTAAATAACCTTTAGCGTGCTTCTAGTTCTAGAAGGAATCCCTAACCCCCCTACTGAACACGAGAGGCAGTCCTTTTCTAAGGTCGTCCTGCCCTTTTTTTTTTTTAGTACAAGTAGTTTCCATCTCACACGTGACCCTGCAAGGATAAAGTTGGGTACTTTGACTATTGATTCAACACACTTCCACTGTAGTGGCCGACTGAATACTGTTACTTTCTCTCAAACCATAGTACTATCATTTGATCATATTTAAGGAATAGTAACTATAGTCCAATAATAACTGATATAATAGATGATAAATATGGCTATATATCTTTTAGTTGATGGTGCAGTGTAGACTGATTAAACCAAAGAAGTGGTACATGAAAATTCAAACCATGAAAAAATTGTTTAGAATATGAAAATTTTAAAATCAACTGGACCACAATGGAATACAGTAATGCACGCAAGACAAATCGAGTTCCATCGTACAGTATTTTATCGACGATTGCAAGCAAGAAGATGCCTTGCTACCGTAGAATGCTTACAAGACATTCATAATAGAATTGCATTGGTTATTAACTTCCATTCAGATAAACAGTCTACGCAATATTGTTTTGTCTCACGCTAACCATGACCACCGAACAGAGACAGTTCTGTTATTCACAAAATGAAATTAGTAGTTCATCCATGAATTGAAATTATATGTTATGACAATATATTTGTTGACAAATTCTACTAAATTTGAATTGACAAGGTCATCCATATGTTCTTTACTTTGATAAAAACCCATGACGGCATACATCCTTCACCAAGCACCCAGGTGATAAGTCCTTGAACGTCCTGTTTCATCATATAAAATCCAGTCAAACAGTTACCGACTTTCACATCAATATAAGAAGAAAAAAAAAAACTCTTTTGATAGCAAAACCTACTTCTAAATTCAAGGTTGAGTTAGCTTCTGGCATCTTGAAAACAACATCTGCTTTACTCTGCATCAAACCCAAAACAAGATTTCAATGTATATCATAATGTGGCAGGTATCAAGGACTGCGTGTGTGGTTGGTGTATAAATGTATATCTGGGTTGAATTAATACCATCAAATTTTCAATCCATAGCTGGTTAGAAATTAAAAGGTAAATTGAGGCTATTTAACACATAGCAAGTACTATGCTTCATTTTTTACTCATGAAAACAATAGGTAATGCTCACATTCATGTGTGTGTGTTTGCTACTATAACATTGCCTAAGAGAATAGTAATTAAAGCAGATAATCTCACATATATGCAAGGAAGGAGCTCAATAATAATAACATAATTTAAATGTTTCATTGAAATTCAACTAGATATATCAGCGACAGTGCGAGCAGCAGTTATCATTCTTCCCATTAATAGCTATGACATATTAGAATTCATTAGTCGAATGTACTTTGTAGAAAAAATAAATAATACACGTGATGCTTTTTGTCACATTTTCAAATCAAATACTCCAAATATATAAAAAATAAAAAATAAATAAAAGACAGTTTACATTTATAAATAATTCATGAAACCGAAATTGCATTGGTCGGAGATAAAATGATAAAAAAAAAAAAAAAAAAAAAAAAGGGACTGTGATACATTGCTAACAGAAGGAAGGTAATTAGGTAAATACTAAAGTTAACACAGACTGAGAAGGTATATAAAGATATAGTTTTTTTTGGATAAGTGTATATAAATATATCATTGTGTGTGGTTTAACTTAAATTATGGTCCCAAATAGCTCATGATGGCAATCATGTAGCAAGTAGTTGAGCATAGGCTTTGTTGAGCATGTGGAGCATAATGCGTGTATAATCTAGGATTCTAAATTGATTTGATGACCTAAACTAACGAAAAAAACACCAACAGTGTCCATACCAATGAACATCAAATAAATTAAATCACAAAACAAATAACAAGCTGAACAACTTTATATATATGTATACATATACATACACACACACATATATATATATGTCACTACTAGAAGATATATACATAAGAGAGAGAAGGATAGGGTGAGTACTTCGGGACCGTAGACATCGAAGTAAGTTGGGCGGTCGTTGCTATTGTTTAACCTATCTTCTTGAGAAGCTAGGGTTTCACGTTTATGGTCCAGAGACCGCATTTTTCTGTTCGTCGGAACGACAGAAAGTCAATTCCTTTCCAAGATAACTCAATTCAGACACAAGTTGTTCGGCAGACGAAGATTTTTCCGATCGTATGCAGTTTAGTGCCTTTATAAGTCTAGCTTCGCAGTTTGTTTCTTGTTTTTTTTTTCCCTTTCTTCTTTAAATATACTCCGTAATGCTAAGGCTTAGAGTGGGTTTGAAGGGAAAGGGAAAGGGAAGGGAAGGTTATAAAAAAATTCTATTTGGGTAAGGTGAGTGGAGGGAGAGGAAAGGGTTTGGAGGGTTCTTAGTAACAATGTATAGTAATTTCTTTAACTTTTAAAAAATGGGAGAATAAGGAAAAAAAGAGAAGGCAATGGCTCGTATAATATTTATCATGTCATATTTACCCTCAAAATTGCACTTGATATTGGGCATGTATTCAGCGCGGGAAGCTTGCGAACGGCGGACGGCGAACCCGAACTGGAACAGCAATGGAAACTGAAAGATGTGGGTTTTGATTTTTTGAGGCGGACGGAGAACCCGAACTGGAACAACGATGGAAACTGAAAGATGTGGGTTTTGATTTGGGGGTGAGAGAGGATGAGGAGAGGGCAAGTTTATATTTGAGAACGAGATTAGAGATGGAGGCTGAAATGATTTGCCCTAATCTTTTTTCTTCTTTTTTTTTTTTTTTCTTTTGTAGCAAAATATAAGAGATTATATATATACAATCTTTAAAAATATAATAAGGGTATAATAGTAAATTTATTATTATCATTCCCTTTTATTTTTTTTCCAAAACATAATTATTATCTTCTCCTTTCTCTTCATGCATTAACCAACCAAACACAACGGAGAGTTCAAATTATCCTTTCCTTCCCTTTCCCTCATAACTAATCTTATCCTTCCCCTTCAAACCCACCATACCAAACATAGCCTTAAGGGGCCCATTTGTTTATATACCTCATATCAGCACTACAGTGTTTCATATCACTTGATACCAGCACTGCAATGTTTGATACAAGTCTGATATCGCCGCTACAATGTATAAACCAGCCAATATCACCAAACTGTTGATATGGGTTTTGGTCCAAAATCTGGTAATGTTTTGATAGTATTCGATACCACGTCAACCTACTCCAAACATGATATTGGCTCAAATTACAAAACCAAGACACCATGGGCTTCCAAACAGGCCCTAATAGATATAGGATGCGTGTGTTCTGTAATGGGTCGAATCCAATAATACAAATTTAACATTGTCCATAAATTACATTGAACTCCCCTAAAGTTTTGTTAAATTACACTAACTTCTCTTATCGTACTTGTTGAATTTATAATTACGTATCTGTCCTTATATATGTATATTGTATTTTATTGCAATAAATGTGCCGTCCAATGGTAGAATTGAGATTTAAAAGTTATAGCATTGCAATATAAGCATTTTTTTTGTCTTAAATGTGTTGACAATTAAAAAATGAGAGTTATATATTTATTATATACAAATATTAATAGAGATAAGTGTCATTTGACAAACAAAATGAGAGGTCAAACAATATGTGCAATTAGTTAGGAAAGATAAAATAAATGAAGATAATAAGAAAAGGGGAAGAGATAAAAAAAAATGGGATAGTTTGCAACAAAAACAACTTAATCTATCAATGTTACACAATATCACTGCGAGTTTTATCTTCAATTAATCATATGATTGCTGAAAAAGATTGGAATATATTTATTTGTTAGGTGGTGGTTAATAGAATTATTATTTTTTTGTTTTTAAGGTTATTCACTATTAACAAATTAATAATGGGTTAAGCTTTGTGCAAAATTAGTCTATATTTTTTAAAAATGTGCATGCAAGTTTACAAAATTAAAAAAAGGTGTATAACTAGTCCCTCTGACCACTTTTTTACAAAAAGTAAAACTGAAAACCCTATTTTACACTTTTGTTTCTCATTTTGCCCCTCGCCATTTGTGGCGCCCCCCAACCCAATTCGTCTCTCTCTCTCTCTCTCTCTCTATATATGTCTATATATTCATTTCTTATATTTGAAATGTATTTCCTTATATGGTCTAACCCATAGAATTGAAGCAGACATGGAGAGACAGAGAGATTAGGTTATCTTTGTTTTGTCTGAAAGTATTTATTGGAATAGTTTCTTGGAGTTCATTTTTTAATCTTCAGGCTTCTTTTATCTCAATTGATATTCTTGAAGCATGAGAGAAAGGCTTTGTTAATTTGTGTTGAAGTTTGTGAGGAAATTTCTGTGTGATTAAATTTTGGATTTTTATTTTATTTTATTATTTTTTTATAACAAATAAAACCTACACAAAAAGTACAAATGGAAAAAGAAAAGAAAAAAGGGTAAAGTATTAATCATTCATGGGTTTGTATTTTTTACGGCAGAGAAGACCTGGTCTTGATTTTCCTGTCTATGTAAAGTGCTGGGAGGAGAAGAGTAAAGAGAAATTTAACAGTTGGTATTGTTTTACACAAAGTGGCTAATCTAAGATCTAACCTGTGCTTTCATGTTATTGACTCGTCTAGATTTGACTGTTGTAGCAAGCAATAATTTCTTGAACTGAAAAGAGAATATAGTAGGTCTTTTTTGTTATGTTTTCTTGAACTGCCACAGAAGCTTACCAGAGTTTTGATGATCACTAAACTTTTCCCTGAGCAGAGATGCGAGAAAATCTAGAAATTTGGACACTCATATCTATCTCTTTTTCCAAGTCAATTAGACTTTTATATCTCCCTTACCAAAAAACTTGGTCTGACATTATTTGGAAATTTAAGTTGCAATTCAACTTCACTTTTAAGGCACGATCACACTCTTAGATCTCTTTACTTGGCCTGTCTGGTCATACGTTCTCCTTCCTAGTCAATTGCATTGGCTATGGCCATTGCACACTGGGCTCAATAAATAATTGAATGTAGAAAGGGGATCCTAAACAAAAAAGCTGTCAAGATTTTCCAAGCACTGGTATGTTGTAGAGAAGATAGGAGACTATTGAAGTTGCTCACTGAATACATCCTAAGAAAGTTTTTCTCGCCCCAGCTCCATCCTTTGTCACTGAGATATACATCCTAAGAAAGTTTTTCTCGCCTCTGATCCATCCTAAGAAAGTCCGATAAAAAATAAAAAAAGGCGAACCCGAACTGGAACAGCCGCTGAAGCTTGCGAACGGCGAACCCAAATTGGAACAGCGGGCGATGGAAACTGAAAGATATGAGTTTTGATTTTTTGAACAATCTGAAATGATATGCCGATATGGGCTTTGAACTTTTGATTCTTGCAGCAGATAGATAAACTAAAATATATGGGTTTTGAACTTCTAATAGCGATGGAGGCGGAGGCTGAAATGATTTGCCCTAAAACCCATCATCCATGGGCCTATAGATTTGACTTAATTATATATAATGTGCATATCTATATCTATACTAATTGATATAAATTCAATATTTATTTATTAATTGATATAAATTCTATAAAATTCAAAATTACCTAATAAAATTAAAATTAATTCAAATTAATAAAATATAAAAAAGAGTACAAAGTCCCACATTGATTTTAAGTAAAAATGATTACATGAAAGTCTCTTACAAAACTATAAAGCTAAAGAAATAATAATCACACCTTCTCGACCTTTTGGTTAAGATCAAGTGTACTACTAAATTTTTTTTGTACTAAATTTTATTGGCTTAGCCTTTTGGCTGACCTTTCCTGGCCCTTTGGCTAAGATCAAGTGTAATATTACTTTATCGGTCTTTGTGCAAAGAGTTTTAGTATTTATTCATTAATTAATATAAATTATATAAAACTCAAAATTACATAATAAAATTCAAATTAACAAAATATAAAAGATTTTAATTCACAATAAATAGCTCTCATTAATTATTATATTCCTCGATATAAATTATATAAAACTCAAAATTACCTAATAAAATTAAAATTAATTCAAATTAACAAAATATAAAAAGAGTTTAATTCAAATTACAAAATTTCACATTGGTTTTAAGTAAAAAGGATTACATGAAAGCCTCTTATAAAAGTTTCAATGTTTCAGTATTTTAGTATTTAAGTTTTTATTTATTAATTGATATAAATTCTATAAAACTCAAAATTACCTAATAAAATTAAAATTAATTCAAATTAACAAAATATAAAAAAGAGTTTAATTCAAATTACAAAGTCACACATTTGTTTTAAGTAAAAATGATTAGCCTCTTATAAAGTTATAGAGCTAAATAAATAATAATCACACCTTCTCGACCTTTTGGCTAAGATCAAGTGTAGTACTAAATTTTTTTGAGTCTGTCTTTTGGCTAACCTTTCTTGATTTTTTGGCTAACATCAAATGTAGTACTATTTTTTCGGCCTTTGTGCAAAGAGCTTCTGTATTTATTTATTAATTGATATAAATTTTATAAAACTCAAAATTACCTAATAAAATTCAAATTAAAAATATATAAAAGAGTTTAATTCACAATAAAGGGCTCTCATTAATTATTATATCCCACAATGTAAATTCTATAAAACTCAAAATTACCTAATAAAATTAAAATTAGTTAAAATTAACAAAATATAAAAAGAGTTTAATTCAAATTACAAAGTCTCACATTGGTTTTAAGTAAAAATGATTACATGAAAGCCTATTATAAAATTATAAAGCTAAAGAAATAATAATCACATCTTCTCGGTCTTTTAGTTAAGATCAAGTGTAGTACTAAACTTTTTTGGGTCGGCCTTTTGGATAACCTTTCTTTGTCTTTTGGCTAAGATCAAGTGTAATACTACTTTCTCGGCCTTTGTGTAAAGAGTTTCAGTATTTATTTATTAATTCATATAAATTATATAAAACTCAATATTACCTAATAAAATTCAAATTAACAAAATATAAAAGAATTAAATTCATAATAAATAGCTCTCATTAATTATTATATCCCACGATATAAATTCTATAAAATTCAAAATTACCTAAAAAAATTAAAACTAATTCAAATTAACAAAATAAGTATTTATTTATTAATTGATATAAATTATATAAAACTCAAAATTACCTAATAAAATTAAAATTAATTCAAATTAACAAAATATAAAAAGAGTTTAATTCAAATTACAAAGTCTCACATTGGTTTTATGTAAAAATGATTACATGAAAGTCTCTTATAAAACTATAGAGTTAAATAAATAATAATCACACATTTTCGGCCTTTT